AGTACTTCTTCCTTTGGGAACCATCTGTGCAGTCTGCAGTTCTGTTGAAGAAAGATGTTGAATCTATTTAATTATTGTAGAAAAATAATTGATTTCTGTGCATTTTTTTCACACTGCATCAAATTAAAGTTGATTACGTCGATTAAGCATCACGAGGTGTAGCGTGGGGGGGTGGTTCCCTTTTTTTTTTTTTTTGCTGGCAGTTTGCAACCCTATTAATTAGATTGCTTACTCTTTAAAATACCAGAATAGGGAGGCTGGAGCAGGTTTAAGTTTATTAGATTGATCAGTTTTGCTGAACTATGAAATATTTTGGGTGCAGTGTGTTTTTTACATACAGGTATAACAGAATAGCTTTAGTGTTTGTTTGTTTTTTTTTTAAACTTGAATTTGAACTTATACAAAATGCAATAAGATATTAAAAAAACAGTTTTAATTAAAAAACACACTATATCAGATTTATATCCAAATTTATGATATCGGTATCGGACATAAAAAAGTGGTATCGTGCCATCTCTAGTTAATACCACCTCAGGTGGTTTTTCAGCTGTTTGTGCTGCTACTCAATTGTTTTACAGAGGATTATTACTTCAGTTGAAGTCAACTTTATAGCACCAAATCAAAGTGCTTTATATTATAAAGACCCTACAATTATACAGTAGCTCCTGTCTTTGATATGGATATGAACACTTGAGAAAAAATGTTTTGTTGTAGCGAAGCGGCAGTCTCAGTCAGCTCAACATTGCAGTTCCCTTAAAGATAGCTTGAGGTTGGCTCTTGCTGTCTCTGCTTGAGTTTAGTGAAATTCTAGTATTATTTTTGTACGTTGTTTAGCTCTGATCGGCAGTTATCTGCACCTGTGCAGTATAGGTGGATATAACATGCTAATCAAGCTAGTCACCGAAGCTGTGATGTCTACCTTTTATATGTGATCTATGTTCAGGATGAAAGAAAGTGTTCAGGACTTTTCAAAGCAGTAGAGAAACAATAGTAACAAAAAAAAATCATTTAGATTTATGGACCAACATTGTGTGCATTTTTAAAAAATAACTGAACCACTGCACGAATATGAAAGCAGTTAAACTAAAACAATAAAAAAGAAAATACATTACTTTATTAAAGGAATTTTTTAATTAGATGTAGCTCACTTCTGATCCTCCCTGCTGTCTGATGAGGGCAGAATCTCACCTCTTTGATGTGGTCTAAAAGCTTTTCTCATCATTGATATGAAGTGGAGGCGCAGTCTTTCTGTTTTAACTATTCAAAATGATGTTTTTGGGTTGTTTTGTTTGTTCTGCTCTCTTTTGTGTTTTTAATTTCATTGATCGGTGTCTTTATGCCCCATAAAGAAAAAAAGGTGTTGTGTTGTTCTCCTGTAGGCCAGCAACTGGAGGTCCAATTTAACAAGCAGGCGGAGAAGTAGGGAGAACCAAGGAGAACGAGGAGCAGAGAGGAGGTCTGCAGGGAAAGAGGATCAGAACTACTCCAGAGTGAGTCTCCATTTGTGGTCAAGAATCTAAATAGTGATTCATGGGTGAGTGATCAAAACATTAGAGCCTTCAAGAGGTTTATAAAAGCCTAAAAAGTTGATTCTGTTCATCTGGATGTTTTCAGTTTGAGAAACGTTTCGTCATCATCAGGTGACGACTTCAGTCTCAGCTGACTGCAGGTTTCAACCTTATAAACAGGACATTTGCATAATGACTGAAACCAGCCCACTGCTCTAGTACGGGATCACTGCGGGTTTTCGCTTAAGCTGTGATTGTGATTTTTATCAGTTACGTTATTCAGCTCCTGCTCAAATTGTACAATTGACTCGCAGGGGTGAGAAGTTCATAGGTCTCACACTGTGCGTCCATAACATGAAGCTTATAACACAAAATCTGTCTCTCCCTCTCTGTCTTTCACTCACACAGACACACACCACCAACATCAACTTTGCTAATGAAAAAGATTGGTCAGGCAGCTGTGATTGAGCAGCAAAGTCCATCCAACTATTTTCACGGTTGTTGCGGTCGTGATAATTTTGTGAGGCCACATCGAAAAGGCTCGGATGAGCTTTCCAAAGTTCTACAAGTTGTGCCTCCATCGCTTGTGTCCAGATCACATGCTGCACTGCCGTGCTGCTCCGTCTTTTCAGGATTTCAAACAGGTTTGATTTTCTTACGACCAAAGATTGATGATCAGGAGCTGGTCGTGAGGTGTTAATCGCTTCTCGTTACCCCATGTATACGAAACACGACACACGATTAAGGCCAAACTCGGGCCGATCCCCAAAACGGTCGCACGACTGAAAAATCGGCTCAAAATGGGCCAAAAATCGCACAGTGTAAGCCCAGCATTAGGCTGCGCTTCTTCTTTCCTGGATCGGCTGGAGCTTTCTTTAGGCAAAGAACATTTCCAGCTGGGACAACCACCTTTACTCAGGACCTTCTTGGTGTGATCTGGGCTTTGATCAGTGGTTGTTGATCAATGGTCATGAGAATTTGCATATTAATGATTAAGGAACTGACCTCCCAGCCCATTGTTGCTTCAGTGGGCTGGTTTCAGTCATTATGCAAATGTCCTCTTTATAAGGTTGAAACCTGCAGTCAGCTGAGACTGAAGAAGTTACCTGGATGAGCGACGAAACTTTTCTCCCACTGAAAACGTCCAGATAACAAAATCAACTTTTGGGATTTACTTACCTGGATGGTTGAGTGTGCATCAAGACACTAGCACTACTGATGTTATCCTGAAACTGCAGACTAAGCAACCAAGAACATAACTAGTTTCTACTTCTAACTTAAAAAGTCATATAACCAATCATTTAAATGCCGGTTGGATTACTGATCACACTGTTCACTTTGATGTCAATTCAGCAAAGTTTAATAGATACACTACAAGTGTTTTCACTCAGTATAGCCTAATTTATTTATAATTTGTCTCATAGCTAGTATCTACTTTACAGAAAAGATTCCTCTGATATTTTGTGTTTTTTGTCTTGTGTTTTTGCAGGATAAGGAGAGACCTGGTGATCAGCGCAAAGTGGAGAAAGAAGCTGAGGAGAAGAAAGAAAGCCAGCAGACAGTAGGAGCAGAAAAGACAACCAGTCACAGCTTCCGTCCTTTTCCTCCTCCTCATTTGGGCTCAGAGGTAAACCTACATTTATTCAACTTATGAGATTTTTTTTTCTTTCTTGAAAAATAAAACTAAATCCCAAATAAGTCCAGATGTTTTTAAATGCTCTGATTTTTCTCTAATGTCTCCGTCTTTGTTTTATAAACCTGTCTGTAGGAACTAGCAAAAGACTCAACAGCACCATCCGGTGACTAAAAAAGGAAGTGCTTTTAATTTAGTACTGCAAAGTTAAATTTATAATAGCAATTTAAATAATAATATAGCAGTATTTTGTCTCTGTGTGTTAACACAACGTGGATACACAAAACATTGCAATGCTGTGCTGTATCCATTTTTTCTGCCATTTCTAATCGTTATCTGCTTAATGTGGACGTTGTTCACGTTTTCTTTTTCAGTGACACATGGAAATCAAATTCTCTTTACTTTGGATCAAGTTAATGTTGTTTTTAATGTAATAATAATGTTTCCTGTGCCGGTGTCTCCCTCATCAGGATCGCGTGTCCTTCCTGACTCCACCCCCTTTTCCTCCTCCTCCTCCCTCGTGGATGTTTGGTGGGAAAGAGTCTGATGGCTCTCCTGGCACTGATTCCACATCCAGCATGTTGATGTTGTGGTACATGTGCGGCTTCCACACGGGCAGCTTCATGGTCAGTAGCAGGTTATTAGACAGTGTCCCGATTCGTTGATGTTGGGCTGTATAATGTACACGCCCTGTACGCGTAAGCAGAGTATATTATCATGCATCATGACAGTTAGCTGCAACCCCTTTTATGGTATTGAAGTTTATACTTCACTAACGGTTCCAACGCTCTTTCACCCCCAGCTGTTTCCTGTTGTTCTCGTTATGGGGCCCATGGTCGTATATGACACGTCCTGAGTACATATGAAGAGTATAAAAAGCTCTTTATGAATGAATATGACCTGATAAATCACAAAATGTGTGACTGCCGTTTAAACAAAACAAGTTGACAGTTGTGACAAAAAATAATACATCTTCATCCGTGTCTGTTGTCTTCATATATGAGGTCTGTATCTCTGAAGTACGCAGCACTTGATAGGTCACGTGTTTTATCCAAACCATGTGACCAGTTGGTTTGATGGTACAGTTGTAATGAACTGCCAGTTAAGGGTATCACTGGGTGTAGTGTTAGGGGAGGTTATAATAAACCTTAAAAAGTTGACCTCTGGTAATATTTTGCATATTAATCTCACAACTGCAGCTCATTGTGCTGAAATTATATAAAATCTGTTCCTTCAGAACAGCCAAACATCAAAATGGTGGATCTTACTTGACGTCACCTACTTTTTAGCCTGAGGTGAGAATATCAAGACAAGTGGGTGGAGTTCCTCGTTAGCAAGCTTCATCCATAAACTGTTTGGCATTAAATGAGTAACAGACAGTATAATGGTCCATTCACTGAAACACTGGAACAGTTAATCCTGAAAGCTGCGTTAGTTGTCAGATAATTGCATCAGAAATGCTACAAAGTCACCAGCAGCACAAACATGACCTGAGGTGAAGCCCAGTAGATGCTAGCTAGTAGAAAGCATCATGTGTTAAATGAATTATAGCAGCGGTCTCCAACCTTTTTTGTGCCACGGACCGGTTTATGCCCGACAATATTTTCACGGACCGGCCTTTAAGGTGTCGCGGATAAATACAACAAAATAAAACTAGTACCGGTACCAAAAAGAGATTTATTCATAACACACGTGAAAAGACCCAGGAAAACCGAGTAAACGATAAAACGATAACAAAATAACGCTGAAAACCGATAAAAACCCTGAAAACCAGACATTTCACACCTGAGCCTCGACTCTCGCGGCCCGGTACCAAACGACTCACGGACCGGTCCCAGGCCCGGGGGTTGGGGACCGCTGAATTATAGAATGTAGAGATGTATTAAAAAAAACAGTAAATGATACTGATTGTATTGAAATGTAACTGAGTAGTGAACACTGTAAGAGCTGGGGGTGACACTCAGGACTTTGCTTGTGTCATTAAATTAATTTTTTGTAGCTCAGTTATAAATATAAGAATGTGACACTTGCTTTTAAACTTATGTGTCGTGAATTTGTTTCAGGCTCAGCAGATGTTCAAGCCGGCCTCCAGAGACTGAGGTGAGAATCCACACTGAACATGTGGCAGACTCAGACAGGCAGGAATAGAATGTCGTGATAATGCGCTTCACACAAAGGCATCACAGGAAAACATGTCAGTGTATATATAAAAAGTTTTTTAAGGTATATTTATGCCATGGACTGTATACATAGCTTCATAGAGTAGTGGTTTACACTTTTGTAACGTGAAAGATCTCCAGTTTGAGTTTATTATATTTGTTTTCTATAACCAAAACTTCTATCTGGTCTTTAAGTGATGACGTGATGAACCCTTTCAGGTCCAAACTGCTCTGTGTTTATTAAGGCTGCTGTGTTTTTAACATGTTTTAATGTTTTGTATCTTGTTCTGTTTAATCTCAACAAGCCCATAAAAACAGTCAGTGATCACTGTCGGCCTGTCTCGGTTTTTACTGCCACTGTTCATTTTACAGCTCAGTGTTTAAATCCTTACGATGTAGCTGCAGCCCAGCAGCAGTATATTAATGACTAACCTCGTATTGTGGATGGATTATCTCAGTTGTTCTCCTGACTGAAGTTTGGTCCGTTTACAGCATCCTGCCATGCGATTGCATTTGTCTCTAACCATCAGGAACCTTCACGTTAACTTTTATCCAGTGGAAAAAGTTAGCTTCATCCTCCAGCTTCACTGTGTTTATGCTAACATAGCTGTGTCGCTAGCGATCACGTAGCACATCATTATATACCAGCTAGCCCAACTTCAGTAACCCTACAAACGTCACTGCTGTTTAGTTTTCTGTCTTCATTTATGTTGGAAGTGATAGCAGAGCTGTACGTTTCAGAAATCTCTCAGTCAGAACATGCTATATCATGTTTAGGTGGAAGCTAGCGAGCTAACTTCCTGCTAACTTCTAACTCTGTTAAATTAATAAATTCTGTTTTCATGGATGCCTGGATGTTAAACTTCATTGTTACACCTGGTAAAGCAGCAACGCTGATCATTTTATTAAAGATGAAAGAATTTAGACAGTTTTTAACTCTCAGTGATGCTGCAGTGTTCGTTTGACTTTATAACCTGCAGCAGAGTTTGGGCCTGACACGGCTGATGACGTCTGACTTAAAGACCAGATGGAGGTTATTTTTCTGTCATTTAATTGTTCATCGGTCACTTAATTCCTCTGTTTAGCCTAAATGGCCATTGAGGAGGTCTTTATAAATAGGAAAAGCTTTAAAAGTCCCAACATTGGCTCAGATGACAGTTGCAAGTTATGGACCGGAGGCCTGTATTATAAGCATAATTTTGGCTTATTGGGGTTAACCGTGGGTTTTTTGTACTGTGAAGGTGGTTCACGTCTTACTGGGGTAAATCATCTTGGAGACATATGCTATAGGCCTGTGGAGCAGGTTAGGTTCCAGATTAGAGGTAAGCAGATATGAAATCACGGCCTGCTGACCAATCGATTATCCAGATAATGGTGTCACTGTTCCTGGAAGATCTCTCTCACAGCAGCGTTTCTCTTCAGTTGTGTTTCTACAGACTTACCTGATTAAAAGGAAAAAGACAAAGTTTGAATGAGTGCAGGATCTGAGCAGCGCACTGATCTTAAATGAATGCATTTATTTCTTTTATTTCTTTACTGTAGAGTCGAGAGAATCAAGGGACAAGATGCAGTTGGGATGTTCATCTTTCATTCACAGCTCACGTTCATTTGTATTCTGATTATTGTTTGTATTTCTACAAGTATCTTATTTGTTCTTAGCTGAATGTTGTCATGGAAACTGTGCACGTAGTGCAATTTTTGTTGTTGTTTATTTTTTTTGAAGCGAATATGAAGTGTTTGTTTCAAAGTTGCAGCTGTTGACAAATTAAATCAGATTATTTGGAGAAAAGAGTGTTTTGTTATTAAAAAGAAAGCTGGATTACCTCTGAGCGTCATCTTCTTCTGTGTCTTAAAAAACAGATCAACTTCCTGTGGCAGGTTCTGATCCTGCACATGGTTTTATTTTTGCCGGTTGACATTTGCTCCTCATTCATGCCACTGAACTTTACTCTAACCCCCTTTCTCTGCTTGCGTGACACATGTTGACTCGATTGATTAGATGTTAAAGCTTCTTATGTGCTTTGACGTAAACGGTGACACATGAAGACCTTTGGGCGTAGCACCTCTTCCTATCAAGCTGCTGTTTGTAAAGAGGCTTTATCCATAAATCACAGCAATAAGAACTGATCATTTTGAAACACTGATGAATTTGATTAGAGAAAATATTTAAAATGAATGTGTGGTGGTGGTGTTGTATGGCAGCAGGAATCGTGTCATCTCTTAAGTCTGATTTTAATCCAATATTAAAAATGAAGATCTTGCTTTCATGTCCTGTTTGACAGAGCAGAGGTTCTTCTCACAGTTGACCTCAGATGTGAGACGGCTGATTGTCTCATTATTGAAAACTAAACATTGTCTGAGTGACGTCAGAGCTGCTCACTTAAAAACATCTGAGAATAAGCCTCAGAATCAGGGAGCACACTGAGCGTCGCTGGCCAGCATCTTTTAGTGTCCGTTACCTGTAGGCAGTCCTTCAGCACAATGGTCAGCAGCAGGATGCTGCTTCTCGGTGCCTCCTGCTGGCTGCTCGTTGTTTTAGGGAGTTGCGAGGAGCCAATCGAAGAGAGGTCAGCTGAATACGACGCCATCGAGACACAAGAAGAGAAAGAGCTGGTGAGTAGCAACGTCATGGCTGGCTTATGATGGGTCATGATGATGCTATAAAGACAAAGGGGGCTGATTGTTGGGGCTGCAACAATTTTTTTTTTCATTACAAATTTTGTTTCTGAATTGTTTTGTCTGTACTATTTAACCCTAACCCACAACAGCAACGCCTTTAGGAACAGAAAATCTGAAGCTGGGTCTGTCGTCCATTCTGCATGACCATGTGGTCCATCAGCTGCTGCCTGCAGTTTGAGTTTTGCAAATTTGAGATTTTGGTCAGTTGTATTATCTTGTTTTATTTGGCTTTCCTGCAAACAGGACTTGCAATAAATGTTAAAAATGAGTTGGCTTTGACTGATATAAACTAAATCCAGTACAAACTTCAGGGCTGAATATTCCCAGCCACCTTCTTGTACTGGCTGTATCATAAAGGCTTCCTTTGCAGTAAAAGAGAGAGGGGGGCTCAGTTATTCAACCATCATGCTGACATCATCATCTAGAGCTGTTAAATTATGCTAGCATTTTCTTCATTATGAGAAGTTGACTTGAAAATGTTGCCAGTTTAATTGAAGCAGTTTAGTGTTACCATGCTAATGATTATCACGGGCAAAGCTGAATGCTTTAGGCCTCTTTAAGGCCCCCTCCTCTGCCTAAAAGCCGGATCTCTCAGAAACCTTAAGAGCAAACCGTAGTCTTTGACAGCTGTACTTGGTGCCAAGCAGCAGGATTTAGTTTACATGCTTTTCTCTTTATTTGAAATACTGTCCACATGTAGTATGAAAATTAGACATACAAGAAACGTAATAGTTATGAAGCAAAGTCTGAATTCATGCAATGTTTACAGCCCTTAAAAACGACAGAGTAGGTGCCACTGATCATTATCAATCCAAGGCTGATGATGGTAAATGCTCCTCTGGGATCTCAAATTAATTCGATGGGCGTAGCCATAAACACAATATGATGTTAGTTTCAGTTCTTCTGATTTCTGAGTCAGATTTTAACATGATCTCTTTTCCTCCTTAGATTGAAGCTCTGCAGGAAGTTCTGGAGAAGCTAAAGGGCAAACAGCTGCCATCCTCAGAGAAAAAACTCGGCTGGCTTGCTGCTGTAAGTACGATCGTTCATTTCTCCTTCCTCCTCCAGTGCTGATCAGATAGCTTGGGATTTGTTTTAGGTGTTCAGGTTAGCAGATTTCCACCTCCAGAGTAAGCATGCACATTTCTCACACTGCTGTTCTAGAGCAGGATGCCATCCAAGTAATAAAGTACCACTGATCCTGAGTGGATAAGACAATCGGCCTCGTGCCAAACTGAAATGCCTCCCATCTTCCACAAAAACGAAAGATTTACAGACACAAACCTTTTTGGTTTCTGGTGATTCACATCTCTTTTTATATGAATATGTAACAATGTACTTGTCAGGCTTTGTTTGTCCAACTAATACTGTACTAGCAAATATCATGATCAAACTGTATCCAGACTGAAAGTCATGTTGTGTTTTTGTATGTCAGTGTGATGCAGGTGAGCAGTGTGCAATACGTAAGGCTTCGAGAATCGGGAAGCTGTGTGGCTGTCCCGGAGGAACCGCTTGTAACTTCAGTGTCCTCAAGTGTCTGTAAAGTTCAAACACTGAAGTGCTGCTGTTCAGAGAATAAAGACACGTTTTTAAAATTGCCTCTCGTCTGTTTGTTTGTTTTTTATACAAACATTACCTCAAATAAAAAAATCATTACTGACAAACGAAATTTGTTTCTTTTTTAGCTTTTTTTTGAAGAAAAACTAACATGAACTTATTCACTCAATTTGCACAGATACTACTGTATTTATAATGATGATTACACATCACAGTTCAAAGTTATCTTTATTTATCAGTTTCTGGGTTATTTTAATGAACAACAGATGGGACGATATCGGGGACAGTCTTAAGTTTGTACTTTTGCCTTACAGGGATTATTTGCACATAGTCTGACCTCTGCATACATGCAAACACTGACTTTGAAACTTTTTAATATGAGTATCCATCACTGAAACAGTACATGTGAAAAAATGACCAAAAGCAGAATAAGTCAACTTTAAAAGATTTTAAGATCACTTGGTAACAGCCAGAGTGTGTGGTGTTTGATGTTTAATGAAGCTGACGTCAGCACTGTAGCTGCCGGTGTGAAAAGCATTAAAAACAAAGTAACATCCGTGATAATCAAATTTCTGTCTGCACTTGTTTGAAGTATGTACAAAAACCAGATAATCAGACAGGGTCCAGTTTTTGCATTAAGTTGAAAATTGCAAATTACATTAAATTTTCAGGCGACAAAAAATTTGTTGTGACCAAATAGAACATTTAATACCTGAAAAAAGTTGCACACTGAACATGTTGTCATGTTTACCTTACAAGTACTTGAGTGAAATTAAAACCAGCAATATTTCCAGAACACTTACATTACTCCAAGTGCCTCAACCTTTACTGCAACAAACATTTCAGATGTTCAACCTCCTTTTCAACAGTAACATTTGAGGATATCCTGCAAAACCAACAGCTGCAATATTAAAACACTAAAATAGATCCTCAGATTTGGACGAAGTAACATTCAGGTTATTTCAGTCGTCAAAATTTCCCAATGAAAGAGCAAAGCTTGAAATGTACAAAAAAAGCTACTTTAATCCAAAACTGAGAAAAAAAATATGGTGTTAACCTAAAACAATCCTCAGGTTTATTTAAATGGAAACGTTGACCCCCACCCCCTCTGCCTAAAACAAAAGCATCTAATGAAAGTCATGAAAAGCCTGTAAAAGTCTTTTGGATGAGTGAAGCTTCAAGCGCACAAAAAGGCATGCAAAAAGCAAAACATCGTTCACACACTTGAACCTGATCGCAGCTAGCAGTAAAAATCCGACCTTTATCCGATTTCATTTAATGGAAATGGTTGTTCTAAAAATGGTCATATGTAACAGTAAAAAAGACAGTCAACAGCGTCCAGTGGGCAGTAAACGTCTCAGCTGTGGGGTAAAAAACAAAAAGCAAGGTTTGTGTCCATTCAGCGTGATGCATCCCCACGGTAACCAGTTTGTTTGTTACGCAAAACGTTTGTACAGCAGTCGGTATGTTAGTCCAGGCTCCGCTCCTCCTGCTGGACAGCAGTGCTCGCTGTTAGTACGACCGTTTTCCATGTTCAACTCCTAAAAAGCAGAAAAAACAAGTTAAGTGATGGTTATCATTAATTAACCTAAAATGCATGTGTTTGAATGTGGGAGGGAGCTGGAACCCAGACAGAACCCACACCGGGGAGAACATGCAGACCACACACACAAGAAACTAGCTGGACGATGGGAGTTGAACCCAGGACCTCTTTGCTGTAGAGGTGGCAGTGTTAAACCCTTTGTCACCTTACCACCAATAAAGTGGGTGTCTATTCACTCTGCATAATACAGTAAATAAATAATGAACATCTCCTGTGTGTCTTGATGCATGCTCAACCATCCAGGTAAGTCAGTCCCAAAAGTAGATTTTGTTATCTGGACGTTTTCAGTGGGAGAAACGTTTCGTCGCTGATCCAGGTGACGTCTTCAGTCTCAGCTGACTGCAGGTTTCAATCTCATAAACAGTACGTCTGCATAATGACTGAAACCAGCCCACTGAAGGAACAATGGGCTGGGAGGTCAGTTTATGATCATTCAGATTCTCATGACCACTGATCAACATCTACTGAGCAAAGATGCATCTTTCGCCATCTTACAATGGTTTGATTGTAGCCATTCACCAACTCTCTATGAATGGTACTCATGGCCACTGATCAGTAGTTGTTGAGGCTGTTAAAATCTCCCAAATGGATAAAAAAAAACTGAAGAAATTTAACTAAAACAGTGACATAGATATATGTCACATGCAGATTAAGAGCTTACTTCCTTT